AATAGTTAAACAAAAATTATTTTAATCAAAATTAAAACTATTCTTCATAACATATTTCAACATGCATAAAGTTTTATAAAAATATTAAATTAATTTAATATAATTTCTTTTCAAACACTTGTTTCTAATTTAAAGTTATAGAAAAAATAAAATAGATTTGTATATAAAATTTAGTTTTTTGTAAAAATAAATTAAAACACATATATACTTAAAGAAGTAAATTTTTGTAAAAATATTATTCCCTTTAGGTCCTCCATTCTAATTCTTCCTATAACAAATCTCAAATTATTTAAAAAATAAACAAATCAATCAATCAATCAAACCAACTTAACAATGTAAGAAACAAATTAAAGACAGGATAAATTTGAAGAAATATAACAAATAAAACAAAAATAAGAATTCAATCTCAAACCAATTCAATAAATAAAGATTCTTAAAGCTAAAACTTCTGAATCCAAAACGGGAACACAAATGATATCCATTTGCAATGAAATTTTAAATAACACTTTATTATCAATCAAAGTTTATAACGAAAAAAAAATCACAAAACAATGAACAAATTATTTTTTTACTAAATTATCAAATTTATTATAAAAAATACCAAAAATTCGAAATAAATATAAAAAAATTATTAAAAAAATCAAAAACTTCAAAACTAATCAACTTCAAATATTTAGACATGTTTCTAATACCATATATAGAAGAAGAAATTGAGGTTTTCTCATACCAAATGCCACCAATCAACAATTCAAGCACATAAAAAACGCAAAATCAACAATGTAAGCCAACCGCAATGTAAAACTAACAAACCTATTCAAAATACAATAGATTTTTATGGTTAAAACATCTAAGAAAACTAAGAAAATTTGAAAAGATTGAAAGAAGAGGATACTCACACAGTAGTCACAGGCGCAAAGTTGGGTGTTCAAACGGCGGTTGATGGCGGCAAGACACCACAAGCTAATTGAAAGAGTTTTAAACAGTGGAAAAGGTTAGGGAATGGCTGGTAATGGAAGTTTATTGGTGGTGGGACAGAGGGGAACCACGGCGCATTGATACGAAACTATGAAAATGAGTAAAAACTAAACCCTATGGTGGGTTATTTTAAAACTTTTCACGGCAATTTTCTTAATAATTGCCGTGAAAAATCAAACATGAGGCCACTTATTCACAAAAATACCACCACCTTTTTTTCCACTGCATTTTTCTTCTTAACCACTGTTATTTTGCGACGTTAAATATCTTTTCTAGTAGCGTAGGTTGATTCATAATAACCCAACTGATGTGCATTTTTCTAATCACAGCTGTACTGTGAGGAACAAGGAGATAGGACAGCTTCTGATACAAGGGATGCCTAGACAAGGAATGTACCCCATAGTGCATAGTAGGGTCAAGATGGAGCCTCGAATCTATGCAGTAAATTATGAATCAGATGCAACTAGTGAATTTCTTAGGTGGCATTATGCTTTAGATCATCCTAGTATTAAAGTTTTTAAGCAAACTATGAATAAATGTAATATGAAATTTCCTATCAATGAAAAGTTTATTTGCGAGGCTTGCCAATATGGAAAATTGAAATTATTGCCTTTTCCAAGTTCTGATTCACATGTTTCTTCTCCCCTTGAATTGATTCATAGTAATTTATGGGGTCCTTCACCAATACAATCATCAAGAGGTTATCATTTTTATATTCATTTTTAGATGATTATAGCCGTTACACTTGGCTATGTCCTTTAAAGCATAAAGGTGAAGCAGTGGCTGCTTTTAAATAGTTTTGGGCATTTGCTAGAAATCAATTTAATTTTAAAATTAAAGCATTAGAATGTGATAATGGTTTTGAATACAAGCCATTCATTCCTATTGCCTAGGAAACTAGAATTAACCTTCAGTTTACATGTCCATATACCTTCTCTCAAAATGGCCAAGTAGAGAGGAAACATAGACACATTATCGAAACTAGACTTACCTCATTAGCTTAAGCAAGCATGCCTCTTGTATATTGGGTTGATGCCTTTCAAATGGTAGTTTATCTCATTAATCATTTACCTACTCCGGTCTTGAAAGGTGAAACACCTTTGTTCAAGTTGTTTAAAATAGAGCCAGATTACAAACAACTTCAGCCTTTTGGATGTGCTTGCTATCCATGTTTGAAGCCTCATAATAAACACAAATTCCAATTTCATAGTTAGAAATTTGTTTACCTAGGTCTTGCTCCTGAACAAAAAGGATACAAATGTCTGAGCAGTTAGGGAAAAACTTTTATTTCAAGACATGATTTTTTATCCTTCAATTTTTCCTTTTGTTTTAGGATTTTTGAATCGTCAAGAAGGGATTGTAGCTCTAGAATATGTAATCCCCCTCATCATTCAAGCTAACGAAGGTTCTTAACCTTGTTTGGCAATTCAAAATTTGCCATCCAATAGCAGTTCTGTTGGTTCTATTTCTGATTATGCAAGTAGACAAGGCTCCCCTGTTCTTCATGAACCTGATTCTCTACTATCTCATCAAAATCATGGGTCACAACTTAACAATCAGAAAGAGCAATCTTCTACAAATAAGCTTAATGAGTCATCTGATTTAACTTCATCTACTTCTTTACCTCGAGCCCAAAATGTGCATCCAATGGTTACTAGGGCCAAGGATGGCATAACTAAGCTTAAACATCCATATATTGGACTCCTTAATGCTGAAGACCCAATTTCTCTATCTAAGGCCACTGAACCATCTTCAATTAAAGATGCCTTATCATCTGATTGTTGGGAAGAAGAGCTTACTACGTTGAGCTGAAACAAAACGTGGGTACTTGTTCTTTACCATGGACAAAAACTTGTAGACAACAAACGGATTTTCAAAACCAAATTCAAGGCAGATGGGTCGATTCTCAAACACAAAGCTCATCTTATAGCTGAGGGGTTTCAGCAGATAGCAGGGGTTGATTATGGAGACTTTCAGCCGTATTGTTAAACCAACAACCATTCTAGTTGTTTTGTCCATTGCTGTGACATTTAATTGGGAAATTCGTCAGCTTGATATGAATAATGCATTTTTGAATGGCTTCTTAAGAGAAGATGTCTATATGAAGCAACTAGAAGGATTTCAAGATCCACAGTATCCTAATCATGTATATAAGTTGATTAAAGCTATTTATGGATTGAAACAAGCTCTAGGAGCTTGGTTTGATAAATTGAGATTTACATTGTTGCAGTGAGGTTTTCAAAATGCCAAAAGTGATGTTTCTCTTTTTATGTTGAGAACTAAAAACTTAACTGTGTTTGTTTTAATATATATATTGATGATATACTTGTCACTGGAAATAGTACGAGCTATTTATAGGAATTTATTGGGAGGTTGAATAAACTATTTGCTCTTAAAGATTTAGAGCGGTGTATTATTTTTAGGACTTGAGATATATCGTGATTACTCTAGAATTTATCTGAATCAAGCTAAGTATACCTTAGACTTGTTGAAAAAGTTTGATATGTATGACTGTGCTCCAGTTGCCACTCCTATCGTTGTTGGCAAACTAATTTCAGCTGAAGATGGAGAGTTTAATACCTGATCCAACAAAGTATAGACAATCCATAAGGTCACTTCAATATTTAATTACTACTCACCCAGATGTTGCTTATGTTGTCAATAAACTTAGTCAGTTTTTGCCTCAACCTCATACCAGTCATTTTCAAGCTGTTAAGCATATTTTTTGATATCTAAAGGGATCTTATAACCTTGGTCTGCATATTAGGCCATGTCAATCTCTTTTAATTACTGCTTACACAGATGCTGATTGGGCTATAGATATTGATGATAGAAAGTCAATGGATGGTATGTGTATTTATTTGGGTGATATTTTAATTTCATGGTCATCTAGAAAGCAAAGAGTTGTCTCTAGATCAAGTACCAAGTCTGAATATAGGGCTTTAGCAAACTGCGCAGCTGAAATTTAGTGGCTAAAATCACTAGCATTTGAGTGGGGTTTATTCTTAAGAAGTCCCCCAGTAATCTGGTGTGATAATTTGAATGCTAGAGCCTTAGCTGCTAATCCAGTACAACATGCAAGAAGTAAACATATTGAGATTGATGTGCATTTCATATGTGAACTTGTGTGAGCTAGTGTCATTGATGTGAGATATGTTCCTTCCTCTTCTTAGATTGTTGATTGCTTCACTAAAGCATTATCCCACACACAATTTCAGCAACTCAGGACCAAACTCGGGATGTTCATCACACCCTCTCGCTTGAGGGGGAATGTTATAGCCTAACATTGTAAATTATATTTTTTGTAAAGTATACAGCTGTATAGTGCTATGTGTTTGTATCTCATAAGAGCTATTATTCTATAATACTGTATTGAGCATTATAAGAGAAGAACACGGGCCCTATCATTCATTGTGGTTCCAGCATATTTTATTCTTCTTTTACTGTTTCTTTTCTGTAACTAGTTACTTTGCCTACCACACACGACTGGACGTCCCAGCATGTGCTCATGAAATATTAGGTGGGATAGGTGTAAACATTTATTTACATATGAACACATGAATACATACATTACAATATAATCATAATACACATAGTAATTTGGTTCATAGTGTACAAGCAATCAAAATCATGATACTCAATATAATCGCGATACTCAACGTAGTCATGATATTCATAACCTCTCTTTTATGTAAATTTTTAAGGAAGCAAATTTGGTGACTGATTGGGTTACTAGAAGTTCAGGGATTCTGTTCAGTTGATTGGAATTAGGCATAATTTTAATACCAGATGATATTAATGGTTGTCTTTGTGTTCGTTTTCTTGTTGCTGGATTTGAATGCTTTTTGTGACAAAAATTGAAAATAAAAGGAGTGCCAATGTCACCTCAAAATCAAATTATCTTATCCGCAGGTGGACACGCGTCACTCATGCTTGGCGAAAGAGACAAAAAATGGGAAAACGGCTTAGTCAAGCAACGGTGTCGTTTTGAAAGATGACTGTTTCATTCCTAACGGTTTCCGCGGCCATCGACTTCTTCAGTCCGGGCTTGGCCAGTCAAGGACCAGGAAGGCAGAAGCGGTAGAAGATAATGGCTGGTTTTGGCGGGAAAAAGGTGCGCCAAATGCTCGGAGGCAATGGTCTGGGCCACGTCATCGCTGCGGCGGCCGTTACTCTCCTCCTCCGCCTATTCTCTAGTCCTGCACCTGCCGCACTCTTGCCGGAAAACGAGAATGACGACCCCTGCGATAAGGAGGAGGATGCCGACGCCGGTAAAGCTCCGGTTTCCGGAAAAGTTTCTCCAGTCACAATCCGTTGGAGCAATATCACGTGCTCCCTGTTCCGTAAATCCTCCGAGCCTGTAAGTTCCCGCAGTTTTATTCCTCTTCTTCTTATATAGTTCATCATTTTCCCGTGTGGCCAGGGCATGTGGAAGTACTATTTTGTTGCTAATAATTGATAATACGTAGATTTTGAGTTCGGATTTCTGTTTTGCTGCGACATTTAATTTCACTCAGAGCTGTGTAATTGTTTTTCATTATTGCTGGATTAACAAAGCAACCCTGTAAACTGTTCATAATGCCGTTCTTCGCAGTCTGATATCTCAATCAGAAAAATACCATTACCTGGAAATTTTATTTCAACAGTTTAAATAATTTTACATCATGACCCTAAAGGAAGTTGTGGACAGATAAATTAATAGCGTCATGGGAGTTTCAATCTTCTATTTTCTTTGGGAATAATGAGAAATGCCGGGGTTATTTAAACAGGTGAAATTTTTGCTTAAAAATGTGAGTGGGGAAGCACAACCTGGAAGGCTATTAGCTATAATGGGGCCGTCGGGTTCAGGAAAAACTGCGTTGCTTGATGTTCTTGCAGGCCAGCTGGCGGCATCACCTCAGTTGCATTTGTCAGGCCTTTTGGAGTTCAACGGAAAGCCAAGTTCAAACAAAACTTTCAAGTATGCTTGCCTTGGCTGTAATTTTCACTTCATGCAACTTTCTCAGAATTTCCTTTTAAATTAATGAGGAGATAAATTGGTGTGTTGTTTTCTGCTGCAGGTTTGCTTATGTAAGACAGGAAGATCTATATTTCTCTCAGCTCACGGTGCGGGAAACACTGTCTCTTGCTTCAGAACTACAGCTTCCTGGCATTTCTGTTAAAGAGAGAGATGAATATGTGGATAATCTTCTGTTCAAACTAGGCCTGGTGAGATGCTTTCTTATGTAGTGATTTGAAAAAGTGGAGAAGTTCTAGTAGGTTTACCCATCAAACTCCAATCACACTCTTCCATTTGTTCAAAAGAATGAATTGAATCCTTCTGTTTTCTGTTCTGCCTTCTCCTTGTCCCTAATTATTATTTTCTGTTCTCGTGTAATTATTGAGGTTGTCCTTTAAATTTTATATATTAAAACGTGATATTCTTGTTGGTGGCCCTATGTTACTGATCTTAACTACTTAATATTCTTGAATCTCTGTCTTAAAAAGGTCAGTTGTGCTCATACTGAAGTTCTTGGAATCAGTAGTGGTGAAAAGAAGCGCCTAACTCTAGCAAGTGAGCTGATTGCATGCCCATCTGTAATATTTGCTGATGAACCCACCGCCGGTAATCATGCCTCTTTGAACTATTCTTTAAATGGAGTTGACCCTTGCATGTGTCTTCCTCATATTGTTAGTATAAATAATATTATAACTCACCTTGAATGAGCCTCCTTTTCCTAGGATGTTCTAATATGTAAGTGGAGGGGGTGGCGGGCGAGAAAAGAAGAGCAGTATGAAATTCATATATGCAACTTTAGATTCAAATGCTCTGACCATTTACCAATCTGATATTTTTTCTATTAGAAATCCCATATTAGTGAAAGGATGTAATACCAGAGTCAGATAGATAATTAATACCAGTCAGATATATACTAGATATAATATTTCACTCAACTATGCCATCCTTAGCTCCATTTTTTTACTCTTCATAACAATATACTTTATTAGGAGTGTATCTTAGAAGTCCAGGGTTGTAAGTTAGTTGGCTTGTGTTATACTCAACCTAAAAGTATATTCCATTTTGTTTTGGTCCTTCGCATATCAACTCTGATGCTTCTATTCCGGTCATGCATTTCTTGAGATGCTAAACCTACGTCCTTTTTTTCTTTTTTTAACATGAATAATTCGTAAGTGAGGATTAAGGCAGGCTGTGTTAACTATTTTGTTATTTTGTTAAAGGCGCCAGTTTCATCTTCTTAGTAGCATTCATTTTTTTCTTAGCCCAACTAGTTGCCTATACTTAATTCACATAGCTATGGACAAATATCACGCATAAGGTAAAATAACTAAGATCACCTACATATGTAATTTCTGCCTTTAACAAATTAGACATTTGAAGATATTACATGGATAAAAGCATATACATTGATTTTAGAATGTCTCTGACTTCTTTTATTTTACTCTTGTTCGTCAATAATTTATATGCGGTGATTTCAGGACTTGATGCCTTCCAAGCTGAGAAAGTCATGGAGACTCTTCAACACCTGGCACATGATGGTCATACGGTAATTTGCTCTATACATCAGCCAAGAGGTTCAGTGTATAGCAAATTGGATGACATTGTCTTGCTAACAAAGGGTTCACTTATTTATGCTGGTCCTGCTCATAAAGAAATATTGACGTACTTCTCAAAATTTGGGTAATCAGCTAAACTTTCTATATATTGTGCCATCCTGCATTCTTCAAGTTGAAAATTCTCCTTTGAAAAAGCGAAAAAGAAAAACGTATTTAAAGAAAGAGGCTCACTATAAGTTGAATCACTGAAATTGATCTCTTAATAACTAATCATGGTTTTTGCCATCAGGGCATCATACTCTGAAACAGAAGGTTTAAAAATAAGCCAAGAAACTGCTATTACAAAAGTTATCAAATTTTCAACTTTGATTTTAAAATGTCTCTAATTTGTTTTCTCAATTTGGATAGTAATATTGTGACAATCCTGCTTCCTAGAGAAACATCATACACCTATATTTGTCTTAGTTAACAGATCAATCGACTATCAAAGTGACCAGCACAGAATTTACCGAAGTAACAAGCCAGTATTATGAGTTATAAATGATACTTTTGCCTCAGTTCTCCGAAGTTTGAAAAGCACTCATTGCTGGCCTTAATGCTAACTATGCTTGTGATCAATTTATACACATCTGGTGATCATTTCTCTGTTTATGATAAATATGATTTGGTGGTGAACTTGCTTTTCTTGTTGTGAATTCTGATTATAGAAGTTACAAAATCCATATTGGAAAATCTTTCAAAAAAGGTTTATCCAATCAAGGCATTATACCATTTGCTCATTGCTAACGTCGAAAGAAAATGCAACCAAGAATTAGTGGATGGGGATGATACTTTTGCACCTTGAATTTTAAGGCTATGACTTAATGACTGTTATTGGTCGATAGTTGTTTATGACTCAAAGTACAGGTACCACTGCCCAGATCATGCGAGTCCTGCTGAATTTTTGGCTGATCTTGTATCCATTGACTATAGTTCTGCTGAAAGTGTCCATTCCTCTCAAAAAAGAGTTGATGGTCTTGTAGATTTATTCTCACAAAGACTACCTACGATAGTTTATGCAACTCCAATTGCAAGAGATGAGCTCTCCAAAGGTGTTAAAAAAATCAGCAAAAGAACTTTAGCTAGGAAGAAAGGAGGCTGGTGGAAACAATTCTGGTTGCTCCTCAGGCGAGCATGGATACAGGTCTACCTTTCTTTCATTTTTTTCATGGTCACGGCTCATTTGTAGACATGCTTCTTAAATTGCACCAGAGGTATTTTATAAATGAAAACCAAAACCATAAGAATCATGGCCTATAATGATGATATCGCGTGTTTATTTGGTCTAATTACATATCTTCCTGGTAGGATCCACATTTGAAATATTCCTTAAATTTTATGTATAGAAAAAAATGGTGAGATATTACTTAACAAAGGGTATTGCTTTGATTATCCTTTTCTCATCTTATATTTTTATTCCCATTTATACGTACAGCTTAAACAAGATGAGTTAAGTCCTTCAGTTTTTCATCCCTTCTCACTGACAAGATGCATACAAATTATTTAGATCTTCTGCTGAAGGAGAATAAAAATCTTCTCTCATTCAATGTAATGAATAATCCTAATGCTAGAGCAGGTCTTCCGTGATGGGCCAACAAACGAAGTATGGGCAAAAATATCATTTACATCAGCAATAACACTTGGGTCTGTTTTCTGGAAAATGGGAAGATCTCAGACTTCAATACAAGACAGAATGGGATTGCTTCAGGTTTGTAAAGTTATTTATTCTTTCACGTTGCGGAAGTTCAGAACAACTCTGAAAGATTCCTAATTAATATCTCATGCAGAAGAGAACGCATTATAGCAAAACTTGATTTTGGTTTAGACACCTTTGGATATTCTAAGTTTGAAATTGTATTTCATACAAATACAGGTTGCTGCAATAAGCTCAGCTATGGCAGCTCTCACAAAGACTACAGGACTGTTTCCAAAGGAACGTGCAGTTGTTGATAGAGAACGTACTAAGGGCTTATATGACGTGGGTCCTTATCTCTTTTCAAAATTGTTGGCTGAGATTCCCGTTGGAGCAGTGTTTCCATTGACGTTTTGTGCTATTTTATACCCCATGGCACGTCTTCATCCTACTTTGCTAAGGTCGTTTTCATAACTTGAACTCTGATAGGAAAGCTTCCATGCAATCTGTAGTTATTTTTCCTTTTCTTCAAATCTTGTGGATGAAGATTGCACTTTTCTTCACTCGCCCACAAAGAAATGCAACCGAAAAATGATAAAAATAAGTTATTTCCTATGCAAGGAGCTTCAATAATTTCCAAATAGCTGAATGACTTTCCTAGTACACTATGGTACAAGAGTTAAACGATTTTATCAAATCTTGTGCACAAATCAACAGAAAACTGTAAATATGCATAATTTCACTTATAAATATCCATATGGAAACATGATATGGGCCAATGCTGTGCTCATTAGAAAACCTAATCATATGAACTCTTGCTAGATTCTGTTTGACAGTCCCTGCAGTAAGAAAGCAAAGGGAAACAGGAAAAAGAAAATTATTGCTGTCCTTCCCACTCTCTTTCCGCCTCTCGGCTGCATCATTCCAGTTTATTCCTTCCATTCAAACACAACTGACTTAGAAGTTTGACATTATAGATTTGGCAAATTCTGTGGTATTGTCACTATAGAATTTTTTGCTGCATCCGCAATGGGACTTGCTGTAGGGGCTATGGCTCCAACCACTGATGCAGCAATGATAGTGGGTCCCTCTCTTATGACAAGTTTTGCTGTATTTGGAGGCTACTACGTCAATCCTGAGAATACTCCAATCATCTTCCACTGGATTCCACGTGTTTCTCTGATTAGATGGTAAGCCGAATTCATATTTGCGACTATGCAAAAGGGGTTAACCATTCTCATGATAAAATTCTTCGATGTTAAAGGTTACTTTCCCTTAATGTCACACTGAATAACGAATTCTGTTATGCATGCTTTCAGGGCCTTTCAGGGACTTTGCGTCAATGAGTTCAGGGATCTTCAATTTGATCATCAGCATCCATTTGATGTTCAAACTGGTGAACAGGTAAGGGGAGAGCCATGTATCTTTCAATTTTAATTCGCTACTGACGCCTTGTTGAATATAATTTAACTAACAACCACGGCATATGTAGTCTTCACAAACAACCAGAGCATTTAGAATGACCAGGGCACAAATAATCTAAGTTTTATCAACTACTGAGAATAAATAACTAAAAGGATTGACCCAATATTCTGCTGCCAGCTTTGGGGGCATTAGAGTAAGTCCGGGGCTCAGATTCAGAAATCAATTCCATAAAAATTATTTAGTGTTATGACAGAAATGTCACTTCTCACCCTTCAAATTAGGTGTTTATATTGGGCTACTCACAGATGCTAAAATTTAGACTACCGTACAATCTTAATGCACCCTTGTTCAACCATTTGACTTGGTTTAAAATCGTAGTGAACTATCTTCGATGATTCATGGACAATTTCTACAGCTACAGACATTATAATATACGATCACACAAGATCATTATGATATATGTATATTTAAAAAAATAGTTGTCATATTTAATTGACGTTTCTTGCTTTGCTGATCAATTTTTGTTCCTCCTCTTCCTCCACAGGCACTAGAGCGCATATCCTTTGGAGGACTTAGAATCAAGGATACGGTGATAGCACAAAGCAGAATACTGGTATTTTGGTATTGCACTGCCTACTTTCTCTTACGGATAAATAAGCCCAAGTACCAGCAACTTGAGCCACCCCTTTATCCCAACATGTCCCATGTAAAACTTGAAGAGTTAGACACAGATCATGTTGATCAGCCTCTTGATTCTTCATCAGTAGGTCAAGTTGAATCCAGCCTGCGGCTTCAATCTCCTCAGCTTGATCTTGTTGGATCCTTTATCCTAGAAGGTCTGTAACCAGTTGGAAACTCATGTTCTTGTGTACCTTTGTAATTTAATCTTATGAACTTGTACCTTTAGAAGTGACCACAATTATGATGTGATTACTGCACCCCAGCCATACGCTTAGGATGTTTTATAGAACATTAACTGTAATATAAATACACTGTATAGATCATAGTCTTTGTCTGTATAGCAGCTCATCCGCTAGATGTACATGTATTTAAGGCATAAATAGAACTTGGCTCCTGAGTTATGCAAAAAGTACAAGATGAGACAAACAGTTTATAACCTATAAATAATGCAGCTTTCTATAGATTTTATATTCTTATATGGACATCTACACACGCGCACACGCTCTCTCTGTGTGCTAAACTACACTGTCAGATTGTGGCTCTGTTCACTAAACTTGGGTATCATTATTCACTTGCTTTTATGGAAGTTTTGGATTCTGACTCTGGAGAACCATGAGTAAACTTTTTATGCTTGGAAGTTGCAAGTATATGTTTTACAAATCGCTTGGAAACAAGCTAATACCCAAATGACGCGGAATCAAGATTTCAATGATTCCTCAAATGGAATGCAATGCAGAAGGGTGAATTAGCTCAGCCCGGATATTACACTTTGAAATTTGAATTAGAGAAAAAGCTGAAATTTTATTAATTTTATGCTAAAGAGCAAGTTGAACTGCGTCAGGGGTAAAGTTTTTTGATGTGCCAACGACCGATTTTTGTGAACTTAAAGGAGCAAGAGTATATATTTTTTCTTTTTGGTTATAATGAGGGAAATCTGTGAACCAAACGAAACAAAAGTACGCCTTACTCTATTTTGCAACTTGGATAAAGTTCCTAGTTGATTTATGACTAGAAATCATATGAAAAGTATTAAATAAATTCAGATATTACCCTTTCTGCTATCAACTTGAGAATAACCAAGCTCGTTGTAGGAAATAAGGATGAACGGCAAATTGCTTGATGGGTGCATCAAGCATGTTTGTAGGTGTTTTAGTGGGGATGACAATTATATTTCAAAAGATTTATTTAATAGCATTTTTGCTGAAAAGATAAGTTGAAAAATTATCAGTTCATACAGTTAAAAATATGAGAGTCTTAATGGCAATTAAAACTCTCATATTTTTTGGCCAGCAATTAAAGCTCTCATATTTACAACTATCTAAACCAATACTTATCTTTTAATAAAATTTTTCGAAACTTCTTATGATCAGTAATTTAGTCTTTCAGAACTAAAATATCATTTCCCGATGTTTTAAGTATTAAATATCGCATCTTACGTATGATTTCAAATGGTTGCAATAAGTATTTGTTCACTTTCCAAACAGTGGCCTTTAGAAGAAGGGGATGCTTAAGAAACCCAACGAACATAAAAAGCTTGTGAAACCCATCCAATAATCCTTAATACCCTAATTAACTCTAATCACTCTTTCCTATCACAACGCAAAATCCTCATATTAACTATGTCGTTTTTTTTTTTCTTTTTGAAAAAAAGAAAATGTGCTACCTCACCTATATATTCTACACCAACACGGTGTGGTTAAAGTAAAGAAAGACAGCGGATGGCAAGAGGTAAAGGGGCGAAGCCGGATCCCCAAAATTGATATAATGGTGAAGAATAAAAAAATGGAGGGAAGTGAACAGTAAGGAAAATACTTTTCTGGTCTTATTTTTAGTATAAAGAGAGAAGAAAGTTTTTAGTCTTATTTATAAGGCAGAGAGAGAAAATTTTCATATAAATATACAATTTTACTTTTCGTTTATTATTATGTTGATTTTGTTTCCATGGAATATACTATATATTAAATAGGGATAAAGTTAGAAATTTATTAAATTTTAAATGAAAGCTGATGAAGTTTAAAGTTTTTCTTGATTTGTGTGATTGTGTGAAACATGTTGTAAGTTACTTATAAATAGGATCAAAAGAGTATAAAGGTTATCTTCTCACTTCTAATTGTAAATCCTTTTTATCATCACACGCGGCACCAATAAGGCTTAAGTGGCAAAAATTATGAACTAATGCATCAGGGCATTTTTCTTTTATGGTTAAGGTGCAATTTTGACTATAATCTTATTTCTAAGATGCAATTTTGCTCCTAATCTTTTAGTAGTGTAATTTTATCCCTGGTCTTATTTCTCAGGTGCAATTTTACCCTTGATCTTTTTTTTTTTAATGCAATTTTGCCTCTGATCTTTGGGTGCAATTTTGATCGTGAGAGGCAAAATTATATCCAAAAAAAAAGATCAAGGTCGAAATTGCATCACTAAAAAAATCAAGGATAAAATTGTACCTGAAAAATAAGATTAGGGTTAAAATTGCACCTCAATCCTTTTATTTATTTATTTATTTGGGTTGTTATTTTTGTTATGAAGAAAAACAAAACAACCCAACAAGTCTAAGCGGTTAAAGTTCTAAGATTCCATAGCAAAAGATAATACAATACTCCTCCCCGTATTATTTGAAAACAATTTGTTTGATGTTTAATTTTCAATTGAGTGTTCTGTAAAATAAAAAAATAGAAGCTTATTTTAAAAAAAAACTCAAAATAATTTTCACATGTTTTGTAATTTTTTTAAATTTTTTCCCCTTAAACTCCGCCTATATTGTATAGCCGGTCCCAAATCCGGATAAAGGAGGAGGATTGTTTTAGGCCCCCGACAGCCAACGTAAAAACCCATTAAATCTCACGAACATGGATCAACGAAGTAATTATGCTAATACTAGGTCGTTGCCCAGAAGTGACGCGTTGTATGACTCGAGTACAGTGAGAAGTGAGTTAGAGCCGCCACATCGTTGCTCGAATGTAGTGTTAAATGAGCGAGGCTACCGCACTTCTTAGATGGAGGCGGCTAAAGAAGTTAGTTCATGAGACCAAGATTAGATTTGGCACTTGGAATATTGGGACACTAAATGAGAAATCTATGAAAGTAGTAGGAGTTATGAGGGACAGAAAGATTAATATCTTGTGCCTCCAAGAAGCCAAATGGACTGGAGAAGTTGCCAAGGAACTTGGAGAGTATAAACTTTGGTACACAGGAAAGGTAAGTGCAAGGAATGGTGTTGGTATCATCGTTGATGGAACATGGAAAAAAAATGTGGTAGAGGTTAAAAGGTCTAAGGACAGAATAATATCTTTAAGAGTAATTGTTGGAAAGGATACTATCAATATCATTAGTGCCTATACACCTGAGGTTGGGGTAGAGGCACACCTTAAAGATAAGTTTTGAGAAGATATGGAGGGGTTGGTTCAAAGCATACCACTCAAAGAAAAAAATTTTATCGATGGGGATCTTAATGGACATGTTAGTAAGGAAGCAGGACAATTCGGCGAGGCTCATGATAGTTTTGGTTTTGGGGAGCTTAGTAGTAGAAGATAATCTATTCTTGACTTTTCTCTTGCATACAATTTCAATATTGTCAACACTTGTTTTAAGAAGTAAGAAGAGCATTTAATCAGGTACAAGAGTGGTGCCTCAAAATCATAGATTGATTTCTTTTTGGTTAAGAATCCGGACAGAAGATTGTGTACTAATTGCAAAGTAATTCCTAAAGATAGGGTGATTACCCAACATAGAGTACTTATCTTTGATGTATGTTTTAAGATTACCAGGGAAAAGTACCATCAAGTGGTAAAACCCAGGGTTAAGCAGTAGTAGTTAAAGGGTGAGAAGCAGGAGTTATTCAAAAGGACCCTTTTGGAGGAAGGGATTTGGGAGTTGCAGGGAAATGCAAACATGATGTGGGAAGAGATAGCTACAGGGGTTCGTATGGTAGCTAAAGCAATTTTGGGAGAATCCAAAGGTCCTGGTCAGAGAGATAAAGAGACTTGGTTGTGAGATAAGAGTGTGCAAGAGAAAGTCAGACAGAAAAGAGATTGTTTTAAGGCCATACATTTGTGTAATAGTGTAGAAAACCAAGAAAAGTATCAATTGGCTAAAAAAGAGACGAAGAGAGCAGTGAGCGAAGCACGTACTAAAACATATGAGGGGTTTTATCAGGAATTAGGAACAAAGACAGGAGAAAGAAATATTTACAAGATTGCAAAAGAAGAGGAAAAAGAGAGATCTAGACCAAGTAAAGTGTATAAAGGATGAAGATGGTAAAGTGCTAGTTACTGATGGTGATATTAAGGACAGATGGGAGGCTTACTTTTACAAGTTGTTTAATGAGGGAAGCAATTATGTGACTCAAGACTTACAGGACTTGCTAATTAACGAAGATGATCAAAATTTGGCTTTTTACCGTAGGATCCACATCGGAGAGGTTAAGGCTGTAACATCCTGAGTTTTATCGGGTTTTAATAGCCTCTTTTGGTTGATTTTGAGGATAGATTAGCAATTTAATCTTGATCTTGGTGTTTGGGTTGGATTTGAGGTATGTTGGAGGAATAGGTGAACGTACCCCTCTCAGGGCGCACTGGGAGTTCCAGGGGAGAGTATCCTTTCGGGAATGTTTCGCCGCAGCGAAGGTTAGGGCATGCCGCGGTGAAGTTTTTCTGGGCGAGTGAGAATTTCCTCTCGGGAAGCTTTCGCCGCGGCGAAGATTGGAGTTCGCCGCGGCGAAGTCGGGTTTTCAGGCGAGTAATCCCTCTCGGGATTAGTTCGCCGCGGCGAAAGGTCGCGAATCTATATAGACGCTGGAGGGTTCAGTTGTGCGAAAATTAAAAAATCTGAAGGAGGAGAGAGGAGCTCTGCTAGGGTTTCGGTGTTGAGGCTTGGGAAAGATATTTCTAAGGATCCATTACCTCAAGTAAGTGATTTTAACCTATAATCTACTTTCTTTCTTGGAATTTCTGAGGATTTTTGGTGGAACCCTAGGATTTTCTAGGTTGTGATGAAACTAAGGTTTTTGACCAATTGTTTTGAGTTTAATTGATTGCTTTGGATTAGTCTAAGTATTTAATCGGTGTAGTTTTCTTGGATTTAAAGAATCTTGAAATTTTGGAGTTAGGGTTTATGGAAATGGGAGGTTTGTGATTGAGGTTGATAATGTAGAGGTTGATTCTGAGTTTTGTGATTTGGGTTATGTTAAGGAGGGTTAAATTGGATGTTTAATCGATTTAGATTGTTGTTAGAACTTCAATTGTTCAAAATAGATGTTTGGGTGTAGAATTCCTATAGTGGGTCCTTGAGGTTATGGATTTTAATTGATGTTTGGAAAGGTTGGTTACTGGGACTTTGTCTCACCTTGTGGTTTACAATATTTTCAGGTGAAGTTTCTAGGCGTGCGCCTTCGGGAAGAGACGCAGATGCTTGAGCTTGGTTAACTTTAGGCCTCTAGCCTTTGTTTATGTATGAACAGTTG